GGGAGGGGTGGGGAGTTTGAAGCTTGTTCTGTGACTCAGCCAGGCCTTTCCTTGTGCATTATTTGTGTTAAACCCCCAGCCCCTGTTCTGCTTTTGAAGTGAGTGAAGCGCTGCCCTGTTCAGTGCTGCTTCTATTGAAGAATTTTCAGACGTAAAAGAAAAGAAATGGCTTTTCATGTTTTAACTTTCCTGCACTCACAAACTTTTATGGTTCCTTGGCATTGGTCAGGAGGAAAGTAGATGGCAAGTGTTCCTGCAAAATTCTAATTATTGCTATTTCAGGTGGGAGAGAGACTCTCAGTGGACACAGGAGATTTTTAGGACGGGAGATTTGCTTAAAAAACATTTTTATGTCTTTTTTGGGACGGAAGAGGGGAGTGACCACCTGGTATTTTCTCTGCTTGTTTGTTTTTTAAGACGTGGGGAATTAGTAGATGTTAAACATGAATGTAACTTTAAAAAGTTTTTTGGATGATGTGAGCAATGTCTTTGCTTTCATTACTATTTTTCCTCTCATAAAACCAGAGAAACAAGTTAGTGGAATGGCAGAAAATGTTTCTATCCATTTGCTGGTTTTTGTTTCCATGGAGGGGAGGGAAGGGCAGGAGCTGATGCAGGTGTGGCTGTGCCCCCTCCCCCTGCCCATGCAGGGACACAGCCCCAGCTCTGTTGGCCTTTTCCTGCTCTTTTCCTTCACCTACCAGAGCAAGCAGGAGGCACTTGGGGATGTTTGTGAGGGGGTGTCCTATCAAAGAACAGGCCTAACTTGTTAAACAAAACAAATCCTTAACTGTTACTTATATTTGTTCTTAAAAAGCAAAGTTTGCATTTGGTTCAGTGAAGTAATGCATTAAAAATAACCCTCAAAACTTTGCCAGATGAAGTAAAACCAAACACAGATCATGTTGCTGAGTTAAATTACACAAAATAAACAAATGGGCTTAGCCCATTCAGCCTTCATGTCGTGGTACTGGCACTGATAAATCAGTTTACAGTATCCTGATTGATTTTTCTATAGAAATAATTAGTCCATAATTATTCCATAATTATTCCATAAGCTTTAAATACTGTTTGTGTATTGTGAGTGAACCTGGTTCAGCCTGGTGTGTTGCTCCAAGGCTGCAGGTTCTGTGTGTGGATTTGCAGGTTATTTTGGGGGTCAAAACCAAGCTGTAGCTTTTGAATTCCTCTTCTCAGCTTTGTGCTGTGAGCTAACTCATACAATCCATGGTCAGCACAGTATAAATCCATTTATATCCTGAATAAGCCCAAATTTTTTCATGTGAAGGAATAAAGTCTGAGTTTCTTCACATGAAGGAATATCACCACAGGTAACTTATTTTAAAATCTAATGTAGCAAATATCATTTAATGTTGTTGTAAACTGATAAATCAGTTTACAGTATCCTGACTGATTTTTCTATAGAAATAATTAGTCCATAATTAGTCCATAATAGATTGGTATTTGTATACCTTACTGTTAAATACTGTTTGTGTATTCTGAATAAACCTGGTTCAGCCTGGTGTGTTGCTCCAAGGCTGCAGGTTCTGTGTGTGGATTTTTGGGGTCAAAACCAAGCTGTAGTTTTGGGGATCCAAGGTTATTTTGGGAGTCCAAAATGAGCTGTAGTTTTTGAGTTGCTCTTCTCAGCTTTGTGCTGTGAACTAACTCATATAATCCATGGTCACCACAGTATGAATCCATTTATATCCTGAATAAGTCTGAATTTCTTCACATGAAGGAATATCACCACAGGTAACTTCTTTTAAAATCTAATGTAACAAATGTCATTTAATGTTGTTGTAAAGGGAAAAATCACTTTACAGTATCCTGATTGATTTTTCTTTAGAAATAATTAGTCCATCATAGATTGGTATTTGCATACCTTGCTGTTAAATACTGTTTGTGTATTGTGAATAAACCTGGTTCAGCCTGGTGTGTTGCTCCAAAGCTGCAGGTTCTGTGTGTGGATTTTGGGGGTCAAAACCAAGTTGTAGTTTTTGAGTTCCTCTTCTCAGCTTTGAGCTGTGAACTAACTCATATAATCCGTGGTCACCATAGTATAAATCCATTTATATCCTGAATAAGTCTGAATTTCTTCATGTGAAGGAATATCACCACAGGTAACTTAAAATCTAATGTAACAAATGTCATTTAATGTTGTTGTCATTGGAGAAAAACCTCCATCGCTAATTCTGTTTGAAAAATCCACTTGAGCTGTAGCACAAACTGCCTCCAAGTATCTTTCCAGTCCTTTAAAAAGCCCAGAATTGTTCATGGCATTTATCATTTTTCGCTGCTGTTTCCCAGCTGCCGTGGCAGAGTGAAGGATGTCAGGGTAATTAGGCCTTGGAGCAGGAGGGGTGTGCAGGTGGACGTGGGAGCTGGCAGCGAGCGTGGCTGTGCCCGTGACCTCCCACACAGATCAAAGCTAATCTGGGTGACAGCTACAGCATGGCACAGCTTGCCAGGGGCCTTGTGCAGCTCTTTGTCTGCAAATCCTGCCCCAGAGCTGGGAGGATGTTTTTAAGGATGAACAGGTAAAAGTAAAAGGCTGTCTTTTGACATTTTAACTAATCCCTTCTAGCCTGTGCTTTCCTGCACGTTGTGGAGATTTGCTAGCAGGAGGCACTGCCTTTTTCACATATGTAACATGTCAGCTTGAATCTGGCCTGGAATTGATGGGGGGGAATGCAGCAGGTCCACAATGAAATAGATTCTGATTGCATGGAAATGACAGGCCCTGGCCTTTTACCTGCACAGCCTCCCCTGTGAGGGTGTTCACAGGGGTCTGAGGATGAGGGGAGAGATGAGGATCTGACTCCAGGTTTCAGAAGGCTGATTTATTATTTCATGATATATGTTAGATTAAAACTATAATAAAAGAATAGAAGAAAGGATTTCATCAGAAGGCTGGCTAAGAATAGAAAAAGAAAGAATGATAACAAAGACTCTGTCTCAGACAGAGAGTCCGAGCCAGCTGACTGTGATTGGCCATTAATTAGAAACATCCACACCAGACCAATCACAGATGCACCTGTTGCATTCCACAGCAGCAGATATTCAATGTTTACATTTTGTTCCTGAGGCCTCTCAGCTTCTCAGGAGGAAAAATCCTAAGGAAAGGATTTTCCATAAAATGTGTCTGTGACATCCCCCTGCACACTGAGCTCCCATCTCTGCTGAGGCAGGAGCTCTGCAGGCACAAAACACAATGCTGCTTTTCTGGTAACTCTTTTAAAATTAATGGAAGGAAGTTTTGGAGATGTTACACCATTAGAGTAAGGAATTTGGGTTAAACCCCCCAAACTCATGGGGTTTTGTATTAAAAATTGGGGTTTATATCATTTGAGCAATGAGATGTCATTGGTGGTATGCGTACAAGCAGTAAACTTGATAACACTGACATGTATTAGGAGAATGTGGAAATATTGTATTTTATTTAGATGATCTGACTGGTTTGCATTTTACTGCTACTTCAGTGAGTTTATGCAGGTATTTAAAAATAATGTCATTTTTCACATAAGAAACAAGAACACTTATCCCAACATTGCTTGCACAGGCTGCTGGCAAAGTGAGGGGCTGGTGAACCTCCACTGGTTCCAAATGGCCAAAATCTTACTGATAACACAATTCTTCCAAAAAATAAATTGTTATAAAACTGACCAGGACTAGAAGGCAGATGCAAAACACACACAGGAGAATATTGTCAATGGTTATGTTTTAAAGGCTTCAGTGAACTTTTCCATCATCATTCCTCATTTCCAGAGGTGAGCAGTACCCTTTTCTTTCTCCAGCTAGTATTTCAATTTGTAGAAATGCACAGATAAAGCCAAGTTCCTTTTTAAGGAATGGTTTAATGTTCATAGACCATTCAGAAGAAATCATCTTCTGTTTGGAAATTAAAAAGGAAGCCTCACATGCCAGTCAGTAAATTCTGAGTGACTGGAACAAATATTAAATCTGTGAAATCAAACTGAATTTACTTTCTGGCTGTAAAGATTGAATTTGTAAATTTGACAGGCAATTTAAAGGGCATAAGTACATAAAATAAAATTTCTTATCCAAATGCAACTTGAAAGTTACCTGTCAGAAGAGGTTAGAAGTCTGCTGGTTTCTCTCCTGAAGCGTGTCCTTTCACTTGTCAGTTTAGAAAGGTTAATACTGCACAAAAGAGCAGCAGAAAGACCCTTTTTGGGGTATTTTATGCTTCTTTAAAAAAATAATGATTCAGTTCCCCTGGTTGAATAATAATAATAATAAAACCTTTTGATATAAATAATGTTCTAATGCAAATTGTTCCAGTTCAGACCAGGCTTTGTGTGGTTATCCTGATTGGGAAGGGATTTCTTGGGCAGTTCACTCCAGGTTCTGAAGCATCAGGGATGAGTTTTAAAAAGGGGAACATGTTTTTCCCTGCCTGATCTCCCATGCTCTGCAGTGAAACATTTCCAGACCTCAGGAGCTGATTCCAGGCTGGGAATTTTGCTTGGTGCCACTGAGTGCTGCTCCTTGGCAGAGCCCCTCTGTCCCCAGAGCTTTTTGCAGCTCTGTTCAGGAGGAAAAGTTGAATTTGCTGAACCCTCATGGGGAAAGCAGGGTCTGGTCCCAGCTGGGGATGGGGAGTGGCTTTGGTGGCAAGGGAGAGCTCCAGTGGGGAATTCCTTTTGGAAGGGCCAATAAATCTGGGCTTTGGAGTCTGTACCTGTCCCTGGTTTGGGGTTTTTCACCTGTCTGAACAGTTTATCCTCCTCTCACTGGCACAGGGCTTTGGATGAGTGTGTGGTGCTCGTGTCAATACATTGAAATTATTGGAACAGATCACAGCTGAGGGCAGTTTCAGAAGCCAGAATTGGTTAGTGTACAAAATGTAGAGTTGAAACACTGAAGCACAGTTCATATATTCTCTGATTTAATCACTGTTTGCTTGTTTTCCCCTTTTAGAATATCTCCTTTTCAACAGCATTAATAAACCAAATATTTTATGGTTTCCTCCTTAGGTTGAATTAAAGAGGAAGTACAATGACCAGCACAAAAGTACAAGAGGCCTTTTATCAGGGAGTCAGTGGTATGAAATTCAAGCTTACAGAGCTCTCAACCAAGCCCTGGGAAGGTGAGACAGACATAACTAAAACTATAGAAATTTGTAGAATTTCTTTTAGGGAGATCTTTAAGGATTTATTCCCCACTTTTAGCACAAAGGGGTAAGTAAGGCCAAACCTCTCATATTGCAAATTTTGTCTCTTGAGCTGCTCTGTGCTGACAGTTCTCTGCTTTTCAGCCTGTTGTACATTGTTATAATTCAGATTTTATTTTACATTCAGAACCCACTTCAATTTCATTGAAGTTTGACTGCTCATAGTCAAGATATACAGGAAAAAAAAAGCACAAGCAGAGACAAATATTTCTTGAGCTTTAAAGCAAATGAGGATCCTCAGGACTTTTCCAATGCACTAATTGTTCACACTCTCAGTGGGCTCAGGACATTGTTTGATATTTTGCCTACAAGTACTTTTGAAAGGGAGAAATAGCAGTGGAGTTTTTCAGACCTTTGCAAAAGGTCAATTCAATTACTGTGCTCACTGATCTCCTCTCAGATTTAGAAGAAGTGGTGCAGCTTCCATTTCCTAGATGGAAAAATTCCCCCAAATGTTATTAACAAGGTAGAATTAATTCATCCTCCTTCAACAAAATTTATCATATAAATAAAGATTAGAGCTGTCATCCATATCTATTGTAGGTGCATCTGTCATGGCTACAGAGGCACAGAAACATCAGCTGGAAAACTCCTCTGATTTGAATGAGTCCTAATGCAAATGTGATGACATAAATGAAGGCTTAGAGAGAAAATTGAGAGAAATTGTAACATTAGGAAATCTCCTTGTGGATTCTTGTTGTTACAGGCCTGATTTCTTAAATTCCTCTTTGGAATCAAAGAGCATTAATTAAATAGGTAAAGAAAGCTCTCAATACCAGTAGTGAAATAAATCAGCTTGAACTTAAATCAAGTTTTAGTGACAGTAACTTATTGTTTAATTTATTATTTGGGTGGTCTAAAATGGAGAAAATAGGCTTCCATTCTGACATAAAGGTACAAATTCCTTATCAAACCATGAGCCAAAGCCCTTGCTAACCTGAGGTGTGGGGAAGGATTTTGATAAAACCAGAACATTCCATACAGGAAGCTCTGTAATATTTACACTGCCCAGTTGAGAGTGGAAAATAAATTATGTGGTTTGATTGGCTGTTGAATATTTCTGTGGTTTATTTTTAATTTAGCTGTTTCCATGTACATTCAGCAGCTGAAGGAATATGAAGCTTCCATGACATCCATAACAGTTTTTGGTGCATCCACTAGCAGAGCATTCCTGTATAACTTTGCATATTCCAGCTGACTCAGAGCAATCCCTGTTTCCCAATTCCCACAGATTTTTGCTGTGTGCTCTCTAATTACGTAAATCCTCTTTTTCCCCCCTCACTTTTAGGTGTATAAGGCACAGGAATGACTGGGGGGCTCTTATTTTAGTTGACGACCGCTTCAGGAAGAACCCCAATAAATACATAACTGGTAAGAGGTAAAAATCTTCTGGGGAAACTCCTAATGTTAAAATACTGAAAACTCAGAATTACAGAAATGTGGCTGTACAAATCCAGGTGATAGGAAGGGTCAGAATGTGCCCCAGCCATGGAACAGACACTGAACTGCTGAATATTCAATATACAACAAGGGACTGCTGTTTGTAGTTTTGTCCTGGGTAGAAATAAATGCAGGTGAAATAAAACAGATCCTGCACACAACCTTTTAAAAAATAAAAAGTAGAAAATAAACTGCTTAGGAATGTGTTTTCAGCTTTGTTCCTGCCCTTTTTGCTGGGCAGAGCTGAGCTCAGCAGCCCATGCTGGGCTTAGTCAGCAGGTGGAGCTCAGCTGCTGCAGTTGAGTCCTGTTCCTTCTCTGATGTACTAAAAATACACTGAAATTATTGAAGGAAACACTAGAAATTCATATAGGAGCACAAATAATCCACATGTTCAACACTGGGTAAGATTTCTTTCTCTAAAAAGTAAAACTTCACAAAAGAGTGAAGTTCTCTGTTGTTGCTGTGTGTTTGGGGTTTTTTGTTTTGTTTTTTTTTTTTTAATTGATATACAAAGAATATTTAAATGGGTTCAAAAACACTTTATAAAATCGAGGCAGTCAGCTTTTGCTTGACTCCTGTGTGCTCCAATATAATCTAAAAAGCTGTTATGCTCAAGACATCTGATATGTAATATTTTGATTATTTTGATAGGAGCTAGTTATAATAAAACCTGTAGTTGTAGGACAGTTGTGATTCTTTGAGTTACTGTTACTTAATCGAACACAACGTTGTAAAAAGCTTGATTATATTCAAATTTTTATCAGACCCTGTTAATATGACAATAAATAGCTGAACTCTGTGTAAGCCCTTTTTAAATAATTCATGATAACAAGCAGAATGAACAGCCAGGCAACAAAGAAATATAAAGATGTTTATACAAGGCAGCAGTTTGAGCCTAAAAAGAAGACTAGTGAAAAAGGGAAAGGCTTTTAGTAGAACAAGAAGGATATTTTTAGTTTGCTTATCAGAATACTGCCATTGAATAAATCAAGTTCTTAACCCTGGAAAGGAGGAATTGTTGTAGCTTCATGAGCAAATTCTTGAAATCTCTGAGGCTCTACCTACACAAATACACTTGCACTCTTAGGGTATCATTGTAACAGGCCCCTGGCCAGGTAATAATTAGCAGAGACTCCAAGTATTACACAAGGTTGATCAATAATTAGCATAAACTCCCTGTATTACAGAAGGCTGATCAATAATTCGTTATTAAGAAGCCCATTGTTCTTTTATAGACTGTTAGATACAGGTGGACCTCATTGGTCCTGTACTTAAAACACATCACCATTGACTAATTAAGGGTTGGCTAATTTTAAGAATTGTTCCTCATCCTTTCCTCTGAGCCTCTCCCAGAAGCACTGTGAGAAACACTGCCTGGGAAATTGTGTTTGTCTGTGGCCAGAGAGCTGCTCCACTTTGGGCTGCTGTTTGGGGCTGGGAAATGCCTGGACAGGTGCTGATATTGTGGAGTAAGGAGTTGTTATTTTGGAGTAAGGTGCTGTTAGTTTGGAGTAAGGAGTTGATATTTTGGGGTGCTGTTATTTTGGAGCAAGGTGCTGATAGTTTGGAGTAAGGTGCTGATAGTTTGGATATGTTGTTATTTTGGAGTAAGGCACTGATATTTATTTTGGAGTAAGGTGCTGTTGTTGTGGAGTAAGATGCTGTTATTTTGGAGTACGGTGCTGACATTTTGTAGTAAGGAGTTGATATTTGGGAGTCAGGTGCTGATAGTTTGGTATAAGGTGCTGATATTTTGGAATTGTTGATATTTTTGAGTAAGTTGTTGATATTTTGGAGTAAGTTGTTTGTTGGAGAATTTTGCTCAGAAATGGCTTAAAAGGCAGCTGTGAGGAGCAAATTCTCACAGCCTGTTTCTGTAAACAGCTAAGTTCTCAAACCTGTCTTCAATAACATGGAGGCCTTGAGAACTTTCATAACAGAGTGAGAAAATAAATCTTGGATTCAATAACAAACCACAGGTATTGAAAACAAAAGGAGGGGTTAGAGTTTTCTCTGTTAACCTATCGTGAGCTTGGATTTTGCAATATGCATGAAGCTAATTAACACTGTTATATAAAGTGGCTGATTGATCAATAAATTGGAGTTCGATGCATCATCGGATGGTCCTTCTCCCTTCACTTCAATAGTTGTTGATATTTTGGAGTAAGGTGCTGATATTTTGGATATGTTGTTATTTTGGCATAAGGTGCTGTTATTTTGGAGCAAGGTGCTGTTATTTTTAAGTTTTTGATACTTTGGAGTAAGTTGTTGATATTTTGGGGAGTAAGGAGTTGATATTTTGGTGTAAGGCGTTGATATTTTGGGGAGTAAGGAGTTGATATATTGGTGTAAGGTGCTGTTATTTTGGTGTAAAGTGCTGCTATTTTGCAATAAGGAGCTGGTACTTTGCACTAAGGTGTTTGTGCCCCCAGGGCTGTCCAAGTGGATCCGGCAGCAGGTGCAGCACCACGGCTCCTTCGGCAGCGCCCTGCGCTCCCTGCGCGCCTTCGCCCTCCGCAACCAGAGCCGTGGGGAGCCCCCCTCGGAGCCCAGCTCTGAGCTCCCTGCACAGCCCTGCCACCTCTCCCAGGGCTCCCCACAGGAGAACAGCACTCCTCTGTCCCCTGATGTTCCTGCCACAAGTCAGGAGCAGAATTTGGAGCCAGAAGTTCATTTTACTGCAACCATCGGCTCAGTTCATCCCACAGCATGGGATCGGCCCAGTGACAGCATGGCAGCAGTCAAACAAAGTATGTTCATTTCCACTGGCAGTTTCAAATGGGGACTTGAATCTTTTCTGGAGGAAACAAATGGTTTTTTAAAATTACAGAAGTGCTATAGTGGAAAATGATAATTATTCACAAATGTGGAGGAGCTGTGCTCAACAGACTGAAATTAATTCTTGTTCCATCTGGTTGTCTTAAAAGAGTAATCTTTGATAAGTTTATAGTACAATCAAAAATGGTTTCATTTAAATTTCTTTTTCCATTGAGCACTGTGAAGATAATTTAAAATATATTTGAAACACAGCAAGATTGGCATTATTGCAAGTTGAGCCCTGGTTCAAGCTACATCTGTTGTTTGGGCATTGCTGTGAGACACCTTCCATGTGATCTCCTCTGGTTCCAGCTTCACAAGTAAAATCCATCCCTAAATTCTAGGAAAGGTTCTGATTTAATTTCAATCAAGAAAAAGCCCAATAATAAAAATTACAAATTTCAAATCCAGTCATAATCTACATTTATGTGCTAGTTAATCTATTAATTTAATTAAGACAATTCATGTGCAAAGATAGTTATAACATCTGGGCTTTTGTTTGTATTATTGTTTTTAATGAATGTTGTACAATCACTGTAAACCTTCTGAAACAGTGGTAATTCTGATGTGCTAAACATGCTGCAAGTCAGATGCAATTAATTTATGTTTTGTGGTTTGTCACAGGTGAGCAGAAAGTTGATGTAGAGAGCCATTCCCACCATGTAAAACAGAGAAGGAAACACATGGACTGCACCCCCAAAATGGCAGCAATCAAAGCAGAGAGAGAAGAAATGAATGGTTGGAGCAGTGCTGATGGTGTGGAAGAGAAATGCTGCCCTGAGCCTCTGACTTCAACTCCTGCAGCCCAGAACTGCAGGGCCGCAGGGAGCAGCAGCCAGCAGTGTGTGAACGGGCCCAGGGACCTTATTGATCATCCCAATCAATGCCAATCAGCATTAATTGCAGAGCACAAACCAAGTGCAGCAGAATCATGTTTGGAAACAAGCCATGTTTCAGTTCAGAGTGCCCAGGCCCCAGGTGCTGGAGGCCATCCTGGAGCTGAGCCCTGCAGGGAGCTCCCTCCAGCAGCAGGGAGAGCTGGGCCTTCAGCATTAGATGGGGATGAGGATGAGGATGAGAGCATTTACTACACCCCAGAACTGTATGATGATGCAGACCCAGAGGAGCAGAGAACTGAGCCCCCAGTGCCAGCCTGTCCCAGCACTGGGATTTGGGGGGAATGTGGGAACCCCACAGTCCCTGCTGGTCCTGTTGCCACCAGCCCCTCAGGAGCCCAGAATGGGGCTGGAGCAGCTGGGGCTGGCAGGAGCCCCCGTGGCAGCACGGAGGGTGTGAGGAGCAGGGACAGCACAGCTGGGGCTGCAGGAGCACAGCAGGGAGCAGCTCAGGACACGAACACCCCAAAAAGGAAAATCAGCCTCTCCAGATCCAGAAATAAAGGTGTGTCCTCCTCTCTGCTGGGCAGTGGTGGCACCTGGTGACAGCTCCTGTGGGGATTGTGCTGAGCAGCCCTCAAAACACCACGGGGCAGCTGCACCTTCCTTGTCCTCATGGAACAGAAGCTTCCCTCAGGCTCCATTCCTCGTTTTATCTTGGGGGTTTTCTCTGGGGGAGGTTTGCCATGTGCAGTTTCCTAGAGATGGGATGAAGATTCTTCAGTTTTCTAGAGATAGGATGAAATTTCCTCATCCTGACTTCATGGCTGGAGGACATCATGTCTGGAAATTCTGAATAGAAACCGAAGTAGGATCTGACCTGGAATTATTGGTTTATCCATTACAGATTTAATTAATCCACCATAAATACAGTCCAATAATTGGGGTTTTCCTCAGAAAGCCAAACACCCATTTAACCAAATTAGGTATTCTGCATTTGTTAGGTTGGGTTTTGTTAGTAAAACATGAAGAACAGCATCTTTGCAGATCAGGTAATAGATTGAGCCTAAATACCAAAACAGGTTTATTTTCCAGTTCTTTGATTCCTTCCAATTTCTTACATCAAAATGTCCAGCAGGAGCTGTGCACATTTTGATATTTGATGAAGATGAGAACTTCTTGAGAGAAAAATTTGAGATTTCTTTAAGTTTTCCTTTTGTGAGAGGATCTCATTTCTGTTGCTTGGATTCTGTGTTTATTCATGTCACAACCTGTTCTCATTTATATGTCCTACAAGCACTTTTTACATGTAACATATAAAATGTAAATTGTACACAAAGGTCTTTGAATCTTGCCCACTCTATTATTTTTATTATTTTTATTTTAATGTTTCTTTCATTTTCTGCAATGAAAAGAGCCAGGGTTTTTCTGTAATAAAACATAATGACTTTTTAAAAGATTCTTCATTGCCATCCTACATTGATATGAAGATGCAGGATTTTTGCCATCTAAACGTTGGTTCATAGGTATTGATATTTTTGTTTGAGAGTAGAAATGAAATTATTAACTGGTCATTTTCCATAGAAGTTCATCTAAATAACATTTTGAGTCCATCCCTACAGAGCTGTGAACGTGCTCATATCAATAGGATTTAAATTGTGTCCTTCCTTTATAAAATAAATTCATCTTTATGGAATTGGACAGTTTGCAAGAATAGGAAGAACACTAGAATTTATTCAACTGGAAGTATTTGGCATAACGCTTTTGGTTCCATTTTTGCAATATTGATGACCAAGTTTCCTTGGATTTCAGTCCTGGATTTCACTGACAGGTTTGGTTTAGTTAATAGGGCAGAAATTCCAGTATTGAAAACCTCTGACACATCTAAAGAAAGAAATATTCTTAATTTCTATTGAAATAATGCTGAAGTTTCTGTTGGTATAACTGAAAACCTCTGACACATCCAAAGATAAATATTCTTCATTTCTATTGAAATAATGCTGAAGTTCATGTTAGTATCACTGAAAACCTCTGACACATCTACAGAGAAATATTCTTCATTTCTATTGAAATAATGCTGAAGTTCCTGTTGGTACCAGTATTGGAAACCTCTGACACATCTACAGAGAAATATTTTTCATTTCTATTGAAATAATGCTGAAGTTCCTTTTGGTATCAGTATTGGATTGGAAAATTCTGACACATCTACAGAGAAATATTCTTCATTTCTGTTGAAATAATGCTGAAGTTCATGTTGGTATCACTGAAAACCTCTGACACATCCAAAGAGAAATATTCCTAATTTTTATTGAAATAATGCTGAAGTTCCTGTTGGTTCCTGGCCTCTAGAGCTGTCCCTGGGTTTGATCCTCAGTTTTCCTAAAGCAAATCTTCTGCCCCAAACCCTTTGTGCATTTTGTGTGTCTGAACAGATAACAGAAATCACTTAAGCTTTGTGACTTGTCTGCTCATCCAGGGGCCCACAGCCTCTTATTTGTCTTTCAGGAGATTTGTCTGTCTTTAAATCCATAACATTCAGAAAAAAAAGAAGAAAATCCATCTCCTTTTCCTTATCTGGAGCAGATTGTTCCTTTCTTGAGCTTGTGGTGCCTCTTCCTTTGATCAGAAACCCTTAAGGCAGGGCCTGCTCTGTGTCAAATCACACCCATTTCACTTTATATCAAATTAACCATTAGATGTATTGAAACATCAGCACTTGTTACTGTGATTTCTGGAAAAAATTCTGTCCTCTAAAAATTCAAATCAACAGGTGGATAAATGCCCTTTGTGTTTGCTGGGTTTGGAAGGTAAGGGGTGGAGTGTTTCTTGTGGTGTAAATTCATCCTGAATTTGTCTTTCCATTTCATAACTGTGTTGTTTGATATGTTAGAGATAAAATATTTATGGTAGTTCTCAGAATTAAATGCTGCCCAGCCTGCAGATAGAAGGGAAGTGAAGTCAATATACTGAATTTCCTAGAATTCTTTATTTGGATTTATCACATCTATTAGGACTAAAATATTGAAAATGCTTTTCCTACTTTGATATAACAGCTCAGGATGATCTCTGTTGCCCTAAATGCTAACAAAATGTTGAATTTATTGAAGGATTGAAAGTTCAGAGGAGATGCAGCAGAAGGAAAGCTGCCCTTAGGCAAAGTGGCTCCTCCAGAGAGAGAAAGGTACCATGGATGAAATTCCTGTGCTGAGGGGCTGCTGAGGGCCAGGGTGCAAGGAAATGGAGAATAATTATTATATTTATATTATATAATATTATTTTATATTATATAATATAATATTTATTATATAATTTATCATTTTTCAAGTGAAATAACACAATGAAATTATTTCTTCCTGATCTGCAGAGCTCTATTGACACACTCAACCTTTGTTTTTCATGGGAAACACAAAGGCACCAACCATGCCAGGCTCCTTTCAAAATTCCCAACAATTTGATAGCCTGCAGTGTTATAGGCTGTAAAATCCCTCTTATTTTATATGACATTTTTCTATTTAAGTAAGGTTAAACACTTTTAGCATGGTGTATATTGAATTATTAACTACTATAAATTATAACCTTTGAGTATTTCAGTACTGTATTTCTCTGAAGCAGTTTGGATAGATTGACTTTATTAATATTATAATTTATTGATATTTAAATGCTTCAATCTGCATAGTTACTGTATGCAAACCAGTATTCACACACATTTGTGCCTTGCCTTGCTAGAAGGAAGCACACAAGCAGCCTTGCAGGAAAGGACTTCACTGTGTTGTGTGTGGAGCTGAAATCCTGCCCAAAGCTCAGGGTAAGATCAGTTATTTCATTGGCAGGGATGGGATTTCTCATCCATCCTTTGCTTTCCCAGTTTGGGATGCTGGAGGGATATTTTAGAATAATTGGTTCATTTCTCCATCTGGATAAATGAGACCTGCAGAAAGCCTTGGAGGGCAGAGAAGGGAGTTGTGACAAGAACAATTATTTAAAATAAATAATTTTTTTCTGCCAGTTTTCTTGATTCAGGTCCTGCCACACTGACCTGTGTTGAGCTTCAATCTGATATTTGAGAGTTAACTGAAGGCAGCTCCTGCTGCCATTGTGGGAGGCTGAAGGAATTATTTGGAGCATAGTGGCCCTTTCATTGGGTTTGTTCCTTCCCTGGATTAGGTGTTAATTTACTCCCAGTTTATGTGAGAGGTTTGGTAATACCCTGGCACAGTAACTCAGTGAATCCAGTGCATGGAACTATCAAAAGTCTGCCTGAAATAATGAATATTCTTCAGTGTGTGACCTACCTTAATTTGCTTTTATTCTGTTGTACAAAGTGAGGATGAGCTGCTTTTGGGAATTCTTTGTGTTTCTGTGAGACACTTTAATTTGGGAATGGCTTAAGGCTGATAAAATAACAGCAATTCTATTTTTTAAAAAATAAACTTCATCTTCAGGCCACTGGGCCATTGTGATAATGACCTAATTACAAGATATTCTCATCAGTTCCATGCAAATTAGAGATGCTTTGTGTCTAAACAGTCTGGAGCTGATGAAACCAAGAAAGGACAAAAATCTCTTCAGCCAACCAAACCTGTGCCTGAGGGACAATGGGAGATTTTCCATTTTCTGCACCTATTCAACCCAGACCAGACAGGAAACTCCACAGGCCCAGGTCATTCCTTGCCTCCCTGTTTTCCCAAAAGAACCTTTAAGATTTGGGTGATCTCATCAGGAACTTTCATTCCCTCCCTGAATTTATCAGCATCATCAAATCTCTGGTGCAAACCTGAGCTGGAACCCCAGGGCTCAGGAGAAGCATTTTGGGCTGCAGAATGTCTGAATGTTAGGGTGGCTGTTGTCAGCAAGGAGTTTTATGTTGTTTAAAATGAATCTCAGATGCCAGTTGATTGAGGAAAGTTAAAAAATCTGAAAATTAAAAAATAAATGGCTTTATTCAAAGTGGATTCAAGCTCGCTGGTCGATTTGGGAGTAATAACAAGGGGAAAATTATCTGTTGAAAAGTAAATTTTGGACACATTAAAAATTTTAAAGAAGGCCTTCTTCCAAGGGCCATTTACAGCAATAGAAGTCTTTTCTGTGCCTGCAGTGGGTATTGGATCAGGGCCTAAATTCCCATCTTGTAAATGTGGAAAGTTTGCAGCATGGTTGAACAGTACTGTATTGAAAACCATGTGTGTATATAAGTCTTACACCCCACTTTTTAAATTATAGGAATTTTGAGAAAAGCTTGCTACAGTAATAGTGAGCTGCAAATAATCTGGAAACTCTTCAGAAATGCCAATATAAGAAGCAAAGAATCCATTAATAATTGTAAGTGTAAGCTAGAGGCCATCTCAGAAGATGATAATGTGATGTTGGTCATCTCAGATGCTGCAAGTCTTGGTCACCTTAAAGAGACTTTGAAGGTTTATCAGATGCCAGTGAAAGGTAAGTTCTCACTGATCAATTCCAGCTAACATTTGTCAAGCCCTTTTGCTTTAAATTCAATTGAATACCAACAATTTGCCACCCCTCCCTTGGAGCTTTTGGGAAGCTCATGCTGAGATTTTTCCTCCTCACAGCTCTGTGGGCTCTGCACATTTAACAAACACTGAAAGGAGCTCCAGTGTCCCCTGCACTCCCAGATTTGTTGGGTTCTTTCATAAATCCTGTTGAAGAATAAAAGAAAAGGATAATGAGCACAGAATCCTTTCCATTTCTTCCCAGTTAAATCCAGGAATTGGCCACAATTCCCAGTTTAACCTTGGTTAAACAGCACTGCTGATTTGACAGGAAATCACTCCAGCTGTCAGCCCAGGCCTTGTGCACCCCTTTGCTTCTTCAGGTGACAGAGAGCAAAAATAAATAAATTTATTTCACATGTGGGCAATTCTGCTGCCCATCCAGTGTGTGAGGCTGGCACAGTAAATGAGAGGTGATTTTGCCACAAGGTCTGAGCCTTTACCAATCTTTCTGACATTTGGAAATGTGTGAAATGCAACTGATAAAATGGCTTTAAAAAAATCTCTCTTGATTCCTTTATAAACCACTTTTTCTTTCTTTTTGAAAGACCTGAATGGCAGTTTATCTTTAAATGCTCTTTGGAATGAGAAGGAATCTTCTCTGACAAGTTACCTGCAGTGCAGGAGCTGTGTCCTTCAGTCCATTTCTCCAAGCCCTTTGATAGGAGCTGAGGTTACTCATTTCAGTAATAAAGTGCAGTCATGGGTAAGTCAGATCACTTTATTTTGTATAATAAAATTAGAATGGAATGATTTGTACAGGAAATACTAAAATACTATTTTTGTAAAAGGTAGAATGAATATTTACTTAGATAAATCATATAAAATTATCTGATTTCTACCACAGAGATTTGAAATGATAGTTAGAACTGATTTCAGGTCACTGAATATATTTGTCTGTACCTAATTTGCTGCAATGTCTGTAGAATTACATCTGAAAAGGGATGGGAAAATAGCAGCCATCCATGTCTTTCATGAAAGGAAAACCAGAACAAAACATATTTACACAAGTGCTGTAGACTTGACTTCTCAGACATGTAATTTTATGTTAGTTTTGGCACTGAAAAAGGAGAAGTTAATCAGCCCCTGAAGGATGAACATGGACACGGTTTAATGGAGTCAACAGGAAGAAATTTATTCTAGGTATTGTATTTCACTGTGAGCAAACTGAGTTCTCAATAGGACCCTTTGAAATTTAGATGAGAAAATTCTGGATTTTTCTCTTAAAAGTGGAGGGTGGGCTGCATCCTGAGGGACCTGTGCAGGTAAGCCCAGGACACTTCTGCATTTTCCTTCATTTATTCCATGGATACAAAGACAGTTGAGCTTAATGAGAGATTTTTGAGCCTGAATCTTTGCCAAAAGCTGAATATGATCCTCATGTTTTGCCTGTGTGTGTCAGGATCGCTGTCCAGGCTGTTTGAAATGCAGTGTGGTGATGGACAGGGATTGTGAAGCATTATTTGCCATGAATTTTGGGATTTCAAACAGCACCACGAAAATTTCATGGCATTTCCAGCATTCATTTTGTATCAAACATAATGAAATGTTACACTGAGGGAATTGGTACTGGGAGAATATGAAAATAAAGGGATCCTCTGAGGTAGAATGAGTTGATTTTTTGTTTTAGCTTCTGAACTGTCTTTTTGTGGCTCTTCCATCAGGTGTAAACATGGGATCAGCTGGGTTTAACTTAAAAATGTAAAACAAACCAGTGTTTTCTTCTCAGCCCACCTGTAGATTGAACTTCTGGGGGTTTTAGCTAAAAATACTCTTATAAATAATATATAATAATAATATAAGTACTCAGCAGATTTTCTGAATGAGTCTCTTCCTTTCCCATTCTTCCCCATTATTCTTTCTGTATTCACTGAAAAGAAAACTCAGAACTGGGGGGGCCTGGAGGAGGCTAAACCTCCCCAGCTCATGGGAGAGCTCATGGCTTTGGGAAAGACACATCTAATCTCTTAATGCATGGCTTTGTGTCAGGAAAAACATATCCCATCATCTTCCACATAAAACATATCCCATCATCTTCCTCAGAGCTGGGGAACCCTCTCTGCTTTAGGGCTGACCATTCCCAGGGTAGATTCATGTGACTTGAATGTGGGATTGAGGGGATGAGGAAGGAAACCACATTTCATTTCATTTCATTTCATTTCATTTGTGTGTGCAAATAATGCTATTTATTTACAAAGGTAGGATGGGCTGGGGATGAATGATGCTAGAGGTAAATACAGCTTTAATTTTATCACCTCCTATCTTTAAATCCACTGACTGTTGTTCTTGTAATTGGGAATATATTGATGTGAATGAAGGCACACAGAATGAGTGCAAGGAGCTGAAAATGATGATTTATGATGTGCTATCATTTACCAGAGCAGACACAGATGCATTCAAGTGACGAAGCTGTGATTCAGTCAATCTTAGCTCCCAGTTCTCTGCTCTTGAATCCAAGCTCCTGCTGGTGCTGAGCAATGTATTTGTGGAGATAAAATCAACATTTTAGTTCCTGCTGCTGCCCAGCCTGTGGTAAATCATGTTCATTGCCATGAGGTATCGTGTGGCATCTTCAACTGCTGCGTGTCATGGGCTGACTGTAAATCAAGTGCAGTTGGTTCTGCAAGGCAAGGAATTGTTCATTTAATAGAAATCACATTGCTCCAGCAAAGCAGGCTTAAAATAGAACCCCTGCATTTAAGAGCTGTTATTTACTCCTAGATTGGGTCACTCTTTAAAGAGGCAACGCTGTATTTTCATAACTTAAATTTAAGGTGGGATTAACAAATTGCATCTTGTACATTTTTAAAACCTTTTTTATCAATTATTTCTATTGAAAATTATTTTTTTTAAATTTACTGCTGCATTTCTACAAATTCAATCACATCCTGTGTTCCCCACTGACCTAGAAACCTCCATTAACACCAAAACAGTGGCACATAAATTATTATTATTTTTTGTACTGCTTAAAACACCACAAGTAATTATATACACCCTTATTAATTGCATTTTCAGTCCCCTAAATAATTGTATATTCCTTTTTGAGAATAGAATTGTCTTGTGAAATGGAATAGAAGGCAGTACTTTGGAATTAGAGAGAATATTTTGGTAGCACAAGCTTTGAGATGTGGCTTAGCTAATGTACTAAATCACCCTTCATATGTTAAAAGGCGACCAAAACCCACAATTAAGGAGTAATTGCATTTTTTTAGTCCCCTAAATAATTGTATATTCCTTTTTGGGAATAGAATTACGTTGTGAAATGGGTGAATGTAGGGGTGCTTTAAGATGTAGCTCAGCTCATGTACTAAATCATCCTTCATATGTTAAAAGGTGACTGAAACCCACAATTAAAATTTTAAACTTATTTAGGAGCAATTGTATTTTTTAGTCCCCTAAATAATTATCTATTCCTTTTTGGGAATAGAATTTAGTTTTGAAATGGAATAGAAGGCAGTACTCTGGAATTAGAATATTTTGGTAGCACAAGCTTTAAGATGTAGCTTAGCTAATGCACTAAACCATCCTTGATATGTTAAAAGACGACTGAAACCCACAATTAAAATTTTAAATGTATTAAGGAATAATTCTATTTTCCTTTTTGGGAATAGAATTATATTACAAAATTGAATAGAAGGCAGTACTTTGGAATTAGAATATTTTGGTAGCACAAATGTAGGGGTGCTTTAAGATGCAGCTCAGCTAATGTACTAAATCATCCTTCATTTGTTAAAAGGCAACTGAAACCCACAATTAAGGAATAATTGTATTTTGTAGTCCCTTAAATAATTGTATATTCCTTTTTGGGAATAGAATTGTGTTGTGAAATGGAATAGAAGGAATTATTTGGAATTAGAATATTAGAATATAGAATTAGAATATTTGATAGCACAAGCTTTAAGATGTAGCTTAGCTAATGTACTAAATCATCCTTCATACGCTAAAAGGCGACCGAAACCCACAATTAAAATTTTAAACTTATTAAGGAGTTGTTGCTATCACTGATTAGACAGTCAGCTGTTGAGACAGTAGCTTTTATATAACAGGATATTGTTTTGTTCAGCACGTTACCACATTTGGCAAACTTTTATCTTAATGCGCCTATGGGGAATTGCAGTGTGACCTCAATCTCAGTAAAGCCTCGGTAAAGAGGGGCTGGAGCAGAGCTGGCGGGAGGTGCCAGGGCCCTGGCCCAGACTGTATATTTGTTATCACATGTTAATCAGATTCATCATTCTGTTTAATAAAGATTTCAGCTGCCACGCGAATGCATAATCGGCTATGTCTGAGTGCCCGTCTTTTGTCTCGAGCAGATTGCTCCAACTGTATTAAGCATCATTAGACAAAAATGACGACCTTATTAATTTGTCCTTTCTGTGTTTTCCAGCAGATTGGGCCTCATTATTATGCAAACACAGTACACAGAGCGGCACCAGAAGTAGCTCATTAATGTTTCTTTCCCCTTAGTACGTAACAGATTATTATTGTGAAGTGTGCATGAAATAATTGCTAATTATGTGCCTTAAATTGTACAGTGATTGTCTGTCTCGGGGTTTTTCACCAGGTTTAGAGCATTGGGGAAGGCCATCAGAAGCTACAGGTTAACAGTGCTGGAGCCACTAAAGGGGAAGGGAATCACAAAACATGCATTTTATCACACATTTTCCTGCCTGGAAGGAGTAATTAGGACAGCTCTGGATTGCTTTGTAGTTACCTCTCACTCCTCTGCTTATTGTAAAAGAAATGACTCCCAGCTGGCAAATAATTTAATAGATCTGTCTGCCCATGAATGGATGCAGGGGAGTTTGAACCGTAAAAATCCAGTAGATTCTTGTTGCAGCTTGAGTTGGTGTGGATCCCTCATTTCCACACCACTAAAATCTGGATTTCCAAACCCTGCTCCTTCCACCATCCATTTTCCCAGACTCTCCATTCAGTGTCACTCTCCTTAAAATTTGTGAGCATTTCAGAAATGACATGTCAGGCTTTGGCATGGCTCTGCAGTTTGACAACTTTGTGCTAAGTGTGTAATTGGTTTAAGCTGGGAGTGCCTGCCCCTGATCCATGGCACAGCTCCTGTAATCTGCTGCCACTGGAGCTGATAAGACTTGGCCACAGCCAAAGTTTTTGCAGCGCTCGAAATAAAATCCTGATCCATTAAGGGTTTGCATGGATTTAGCTTTATAAGCTGGTTTAGAAATTGTGAGTGGTCAGATCTTGGATCCAGGCTTTGTTGTCGAAGAGATGCCACGAAAAGCATGACATCAGCTGGGGTTTTCCTAATGTTGTTCTTGTTGACAGTCTGAATTAAATGTGGCTATTTCACAGTTCTTTATTCTATATGAGCACTGAAACAGGTATACTGGAGGGTTAGAAAAGAACATTCATCTGACATTATTCCATTAAATAATTGTAGTGGCTGACTGCATTTGTTGATGTTGCATAGTTGCTTGTGCTGATACCACCAGTTAAATGTGATGGTGGCTTCATACAATTTAAGTTATAGTAAATGGAGCATGTGAGCTGTAAATATTATTTAAACATTTCACACAGATCATTACTGACTGTTTCTAAAGCGCAGATTCATATTACACTTCCAAAAAATCAAAATTAAATCGTGTGGAAACCAAATTCTCTTTACTGCACTATTCATTGTTGGGCACATGGATATTGACTTGATAAATCACTTGACAGATAAAAATTGAA